TGCGAGGAGGAGCGCTGGCGAAGGCCCGACTGCGGGGAAGGCTTTGGAAATCGGCCGAGGGTCGGAGGTCTGGTGTCCCGGGGCGGCTCCCGGCTGACCTCTGATCTTCCTTTTAACAGTGTTAAATTAGCTGGTGATAACAGTGTTTCTTTGGGTTTTGTTTTTTTTTTTTTGAGGTTTTTTTTGTCCCTTTGTTTGGTTGTGTTATTTGTTCCGGGGCGTTGGAGGCTTTCCTTGGTGAGGGGGAGGCAAGAGGTGCCCGTTCCCATCCCCTCTCCCGCTGGTGCCGGGGCAGGCTGGGAAGGGGCCGAGGGGGGAGCTGTTATTTCAGACCGAAAAACCCTGTGGTGTCTTGTCCAGGGCTGGACAAGTCGTCCCTCTGAGGCCTTGGGCACATTTGCATTTTGCAAGATGCGTTTTGGGGGGCTCTGGATAAGGGGGGGAATGTCCTTTTTTTTATTTTTTTTTTTAAATCTCGTTGAGTTTCCTGCTGCTGCTACACGGCCTGTGTGCACCGTTCCCCCGGCACAGCCCCTCCCCAGCTGGGCAGAGCCACCTCTTTTGGGAGCATCTTTGGTGTCTTTGCTCTCCCTGGAGGTGCAGGCACCACCCTCGGGGCTGCAGGGCCCCACCACGGCTCCAAGAGCTCCGAGGTGCTGAGCAAAGCCAAGCTGCTCCTTTGGGTGCATCCTCTTCCACAGGAGGCATTGGCATGGAAGATGATCCCTCTAAACAAGCCAACACACACTGCTTGTCTCGTGTCTGGGTTGTGGTTGGTGATGGCAGAGCTCAGCAGGGAGGAGAGGGGCTCCGTGTCCGCCCCATCCCATCACTAGCCCAGGAGGAGGGCCCTGCCCAAAGCTTCTCCGGCACCAGAGAGCGGCCACCGAGAGGTATCTCAGCTTTGGGTTTATTTGAGTTCCATTTCTTGCATGCCAGAGGCTTCTGGGTCGAGTTTGAGGTGGGTGGGTTGTGTTGGAGGGGAAGAAAAGCCCCCTGAGTGTCTCGGCGGGTGTTTGGTTCACACCAGAGCCAAGCACCGGGCTGGGAGATCCCTCTTTGACTTGA